AAGAAAGCAAGGCAGTTGGTAGAAAGAGTTAACTAATAACTGAGTAGAAAAACGGTTAGAGAATTTTTCGAACCGAAACTGAACTGATTATATCAAAAAAATGATTTTTTGGTTCAATTTTTCGATTCGGTCTGGTTTTCAATGTATTTTTTTCCACCCCTAATTTGAATATAAATTTTTTTACTTTTTAATCAAATGGACTCTCAATGTTTAAAATTTATATCATGGATACCCCTTGTCCCTAAATCTATTATGTTATTGTTTGTTGTAGATGAGTGAAATGAAAACTTTGATCTTATAAGAAAGTGTTTTATAAACCTAACGACAATATAACAAGAGTAGGGTAAAATGATATATGTGATAAGGTTTTTTAAACTTTTGAGGGTTCATTTAATAATGCAAAGAGATATCAATGATACATGTTTTAAACTTTGATGGCCCATTTGATAGAAAGTAGTCTATTATATACTCCCATTAACTAATACAACCATTTTAATTGGTGTTAATTGGTATAATAGAAGTGTATTTAGGACTTACACATTGCATTAGTAATGAGTATAGTGCAAAATTTGCACCAAACATTGTATAAAATTATTTAGTGCAGTATACTGTAGTGCACCAAATATACCTAATTTACCTTGAATGTAGTTGTGCCAACAACAAAATATTTTGCCTTAAAACTTCGGCTAAGTTTTATTCATTTTCGGTTTACATTTTCTGAATTGTCGTAAAATGTGTGGCACCTGTTCGTAAATAAATAGTGTTTTTTGGTTTAAAACTTGGGAAAATTTTAGCGAACCCCATGTGTTTCTTAAATTACTAAGCACCCATTGGTTCTCGAAATAGCACCCTAACCCTCATTATTTATGTTTGTCTCTTTTAATGAAAACATATTAAGAAGTTAAATGACTTTTTGACCGCAATGAAAATAATACAACACTTCCAATCGCCTAGCTCACCGTTTATCATCGCACCACCACCACCACCATCTCCAACAACCTTGTGCCGTTGTCGAAGGCTTCTAAGGCCTCATGGAAACCGCTAGAGGCCTTGCGGGCCTCATGGCAACCGCTTGAGGAAAATATAGGCCTCGTGGTGGCTGCAAAAGGCTTTGAAGCCTTCACGGTGGCATCAATAAGGCCAAACAAGGCTCTTGACATCTGTTGAGGTTAGTTCTAGGCCCCATATAGTTGTTAAAGGCCTGATCTGGCCTCGGGGTTGCCTATTGAGGCATTCACCAGCGAGCAAGGGATGAAGAAGAGGGAGGAGAGAGAGAGAAAAAGAAATAAATAGGGGAAAATGAAGAGGGGAGAGAAGGTGAATTACTACTACCACTAAGTAGCTAGGTGGTTTGCTTGAGACTCTTGGGTGTATTACTCAGAAGGTCCTAAGTTAGAATCCTCACGACTACTAATAAGAGGTAGCCACTAGAGGCTTATCTGGCCGTTAACTTCAAGATCCCGAGAGACTAATTGAGGTGCACACAAGCTGGCTTGAACANTTGAGGCATTCACCAGCGAGCAAGGGATGAAGAAGAGGGAGGAGAGAGAGAGAAAAAGAAATAAATAGGGGAAAATGAAGAGGGGAGAGAAGGTGAGTTACTACTACCACTAAGTAGCTTGGCGGTTTGCTTGGGACTCTTGGGTGTATTATTCAGAAGGTCCTAAGTTCGAATCCCCACGACTACTAATAAGGGGTAGCCACTAGAGGCTTACCTGGCCGTTAACTTCAAGGTCCCGAGAGACTAGTTGAGGTGCACATAAGCTGGCTTGAATACCCTCGGATACCCAAAAAAAAAAAAAAAAAAATATACAAGTTTACCTATTTGTCAATTAAGTTTCATGGAAAATTCTAATGGAGTGGTGGTTAGGATACTATTTCTGGAACTAGCTGGAGCATGTTATATTACCTCAAACAAATAGGGGTTTACTAAAATTTCCCCAAAACGTCAAAAAATACCATTTACCTATCAAAAGTGCAAAAGCGGTACTTGGTTAATATAGGAGAAAAAGACACTTGATTAATACACAAGAGGAAAAAAATATTATTTTTTAAACAGTAATGCTACGGACACCGAATTTGTGCACCGAATTTTTTTACAAAACGACGTGACATCCACTAAGACGCGGCCACGTTAGACAAAAAATATTGATTCCGTGAATGGATGGCAGTCTATCTTACATGGACGGTTGTCCATATGTTATGGACGACCGTTCATCATGAATGGACGATCGTCCACGACAATATCAATGGACTCCCATGCATATAATATGGACGAGTGTCCATTTACTATGGATGAGCGTCCATATAAAATGGACGCCCGTCCAGAAAAGTTTAAAAACAAATAATGGACGGACATCCATCTTACATGGAAATTCTAGTTTAATAAAAAAAAAATTCTTTAAAATTTTCAATTAAAATGTTTAAAAATTTAGGCCTCCCAAATCTAGTTTCATTTCTCTCTTACTTTGCATTTTTTTTATAAATGAAAAAAAAATTGTAAATTTAAAAAAAAAAAATTATTTGAGATGTACTGGCATCCATACTTTGTGCTTTAAAATTATATGGACGACCGTCCATAGTAAAGGGACTCTATGGACGAGAGTCCATTGATATTTTATGGACTCTTGTCCATTCGTGATGAACGGTCATCCATAAGATATGGACGAGCGTTCATAATTGTTGGATGGCCGTTCATTCACTGAATATCTATGCTGTGTCCTATGTGGCACATCCGAGTTAGATGACATAGATCGGTGCAAAATTCCGGTACTAGCATTCAGTGTTCGTAGCATTTTTGTTTTTTAAAATATCACTTATCAAAACCTTTTAAAAAAAAAAAAAAAACAAATTTTAAATTTCTTATTATACTCTCATATATAGTTTCTTAATTCCATTTTTATCACAGCTCTTTGTGACTTATATGGATCAAATTAAGATCTATTTAAAATATGTTTATTATCCCACGTATTTTCAAATTATATACAAATAATTTTTAGAATATAATTTCTAAACAATAGGTTATATGCATTTTGATTTTCCAAATACTCATCATTTTTAATAATATTTTTTCATCATTTTCCATATTTTTCATAAAAAAAAAAAAAATGAATTCATAAAAGAATGTATCCTTTTAACTTTTTTTTACCCATATGTATCATAATGTTACTTTTTCTTTTGTTTACATAACCTTTCATTAAACTACTATCAATCTAAATTTTTTAATTTTTTACATCTAAATACTGAATTTTATTGAAACCACCTATAATCATGATTCAATTTTCACTTTTTTTTTTAAAATATTAATTAATTTTACTATACTTCAAATTAATTACTGACGCTTTAGATTTTACAACGAAAAAATAAAATAAAAGAAATCATGCTATTAATATAAGATTTAAGTGCATTTTTTCTTATAGTATTGATATTGCAATAATTATAGAATTTTCGGATATTGTTTTATTTTTTTTGAGGTGCTCCTTATATAAAATCCGCAGTACGCCAACCAAGGTTTCCCATAAATTTCATTTATATGGCAATCCCACATGAATCAAATGATAATTTGACAAATTTAAATTGACTTCAAAGTCAAAGACTGTTTTATCAATTTCAAAAACTATTTTTGTCAGAAGAATATATAGTACAAATGTCCAGTTAACATTGGTTTTATTATAATTCTAAATTATTAAGTCCGTTTTGTTCATTTTTTTTAAGGGATTTCTTTTGATTAATTGATACTTTTTTTATTTATTTAAATCAATTCACAAAACTTATCACATTAATAAAAATTAATCAATTTAAGTATAATTAATGCTGGCTAATGTCATAAACTCCTAATATTATTTAATAGAATGAGGTCATCTAATTTATAATTAGTAAGGCTTTGTCTAATTATTATTTCGAATAATATAATTTCAAACAATGTATCGTCTTAACAATATTGTTGTATGATCTTATCAACTCAACAATTGCGTGTAAACCTATGGTTGTTAGGATTAAATAATTATCTGTTATAAAAAAAAAAAAAATCTATTAAACAATTATTATAATTTATAAATTTGGTTAAGTTCAATTGAATTGGGGTTGTTGTACCTTAATTAAAGCTACAAATAAAAAGGTATTTGATAAGTTGATTTCAAAAGTGATTGTATCTAAAGCTAATTATAATATTCGTATAAATATATTTAATAAAAAGGTTAGGGTGACTTTTAAAAATCAAAAGCCTGCTTATAATGTAAATATCAATTACCAAAATACACTAACAATTAATCTAAATTCTAAATTTTTTTTAGTTTTTATTTTTATAATCTAATGAGCGTAAGCTAAGGAGTTAGGACGATCATAATAATTAAAGTTGAGAATTATACAAAAATAATGTAACAATAAGTCCTGAAATAATAATAATAATTGTCTAGACAAAGCTTTATTTTAAATGCAATGTCAATAATGGTAAATAATTAACTTTTAAATACAAAGTCTGAGTTTGGTGGTGAGCTGAGTGGTTATATTAGCGATAGTCGAATCTTTTCCATTAAACAAATTTAATTATATTAATGACTTCCACGTAAATGACATATGTAACATGAAAAAATTGATGCTTTGAACATGAAGTTGAAGTCGTATCTGAATCTTAAGACTAATGTCAAAATTTGGTAAAACTTAGACCTTCCTTCTTCTTTAGGTAAAAACCAACCGTTGACCTTCCAGAAACAAATTCAACACTTCTCCTACCTCCTCACAGTTACAACACTTTTCTTTTTCGACACGTGTCCACCTTAATGTATCTACCTACACGTTGAATTTTAACGAGAATCGGATTCCAGATCCAACGCCCTACACTGCTCCACCTGTAAGCTGTCTCCCCATCAAACACAAATGCTGCGCGAATAGCTCACGTGGCACTCTCTCCCACTCCCCACGTGCTCCCCTCACTCATTCATTCTTCCGTCTCCTACTTTTCCTTTCCTTCTACACTCCTTCTATTTAAGCCGAACCCAGTCGCGATTTCTAGAGGATAACATTCGAAATGGTGAAATCAAGTGGTGGGAGAGTCGAGACTAACGGCGTTTACAGTAACGGACGTTACAAGGGAGTGAGAATGAGAAAATGGGGGAAATGGGTAGCAGAAGTTCGGCAACCTAACAGCAGAGGAAGAATTTGGTTGGGATCCTACAAAACGGCGGACGAAGCCGCCAGAGCTTACGATGCAGCCGTTTTTTGCTTACGTGGACCCTCGGCGAAGCTCAATTTTCCGGATAATCCTCCGGAGATTCCGTTAGATAGTGAACTGACGCCGGCGCAGATTCAAGAGGCTGCGCTTAGGCATGCTCGTAGTGCTCCGGGTGAGGCGGCGGAGTTGAGGTCTCAAGTAGTGGTGAGTTCCGTTACGGGTTCGGGTTCGGGAGTGGATGATGTGGGTTTTGTGGATGGGACATATTATCAGTCACCTGGCGTGTGGAACTTTTGAGTTTTGAGGAATATAAATTTTTTGTTTTTAACAAAGGTAGGATTTTGAGTGGAGATTAAAGGAATGGTGTTGTTTGCAAAGTGCTTCCACTTACACAAAGCAAATTTTGTATTTAGTTTTATAGTTTTTGTAATTTGACTAAAAACTCTTACTTCTAAGAAAGAAATTTTATGATTTATATTGCAATATACTTTTCTGACCTTGAAATTGGCTTTCAACAAAAATATTATTCCAACGTTTGAAGAATATTAATAAAACTCATTGTGTTATAATGCATTTAATGATAGTTAATTTGATAGAGAGGAAAATAAATGTTATGTTAAATTTTGTTGATATTTCTTGTTCGATTAGACGCTGTAAAAGAACTGCACTTTGATAAGATGAGAATGAAAAGAACAATTCATATATATAAAAAGGTCAGCATGCAAATTATTGAAGGTGAGAGAGTAACTGATAGCTTACCCAACTCATAATAAACATATATAGTGTAGGACATAGGTGACGGCAGAGGGGATATCTTATGTTTACAATGACACCTACTCAACCTAACAACATTAACACAGAGTTGTTCCTTATTTTCACTTTGATCACTTCTTTCTTTGATATTCAACGTCAGCCCACGTAACATTCTAATGTGAAACTAGTTGTTCCGATTATTCCGAATGAAATCGTGTATTTTCTCAAAAGATATCCAAACAAGAGGATTACCAAATACTCAATTAACATCTGTCAACTATCTGCTTTATTCCCATCATGGACTAATAGTACATCTCTACATGAGATATCTTAAAAGTAAAATATTTTATTCTCCTCCTCCAATTCACTTGCAAACAGCTAACCTTGGTGTAAATGAATTCCCACCGCTGTTAAATTCGAATGTTGATCCCCTCACCTCAATTGTACAACTCTTCTTACCCTTACATAACTACAAAACAACAAGATGAATGCTATCTTTACATTAAATGCCAAGGACAATATATTCTTTGATGTTTTCATTACCTTATCTACTTTACCAGTGGTCTGATTTGCCTGAATATTGCCCTCCTTAAATGACCCGCATGTTCCATTTGGATTTCCGTAGCTAGCAAATTTTATTTCCGAGATTTTGCGATTACCTTGGCAACTCAGTTCCAATTTTCTCCCCTCGTACGCATTTGCACAAATAGTTCCAACTGCCTCAACCTGGAAAGTCACATTCGATGGGTCTCCTCCCACTTTCTCAAACAAAATTAATGTGCTGTCACCGTTCACGTTGAGGAATGATCTTGGAACATGGTACCTAATATTGATATAATCAAAGTAGGTAACAGTAGGTTGGGATTGATTAACAACTCTTTCAGCAAACTTCAATTTCATTTTTTCTTTTTTACCATCTTTCAGAAGGGTTGCCACAATTTTTCCTGCATTTATATGATCCAGGGTAATCACATTCATCGGAACATCCATTACTGTCAGCAGTTTGTGTAGGCCAGAAACGGCCAATGCTTTTGCCACTTGACCCCCATGCCTAGCAAGTCTACCACCACCGGCTCTTTACCTGGAGGAGGCTTGAAGTTGGCCTTCACATCTACAGTTGAAACAGAGAAATCTAATTTCAACAGATGTCCCAGAAGAAGAAATGTTGAAGGGAATTTTATTATTGCTGCTATGAACGAGGTCGTACCTTGAGCCATGTCATTGGTGTATCTTTGGGAAGTGATCCGCTGGACGTCCAATTTTGCATCTTTGGATGACTGTGACTGTGGATCATGAAGTTGGTTGGTCTCACCATTCAATCCCACCTTCACCCAGAGACATAATTTTTAAATAAGTTTACATTAAGGTTTAAGTAATTGGTGATGTGCTGCTAGATATCAGAATGATTTTTAGTACCTTATAAGAACATTCGTTTGATGTTAGACTTGTAGTATGATAGGGTTTGGGATAGGATCTGTTTATATGAGGAACAATAAATGGAACATAGACCTCCAAGAACAAGAGATAGAAATATTAGTTGACAAAATTCTTTATTGATTCTCACAATATAGATTTAGGCTATTATATAGCCTTACACTTGACTCTACTAACTCCCAAAAAGACTATAATTATAAAAGGATAATAAGTCTCAAAAGGACTCTAATTATAAAAAGATAATAAGATAATCCTAATTCTATCCTAATAAGATAATAATATAATTATAAAAGATAATAATGAAAGACTTAACACACTTATCCTAATTCTAAAATAATCCTAACATTGCCTTCCCCTTCACGTCAACCTTGTCCTCAAGGTTGCAAGGTACAACACCATCACCAGCAGTTATCCCGGTTCATCCTCATGCTCATCATCCTCCTCCTCCATCATCAAGAGAAAGAACTTGGCCGTGCAACGATGCCTAGGGTGAAAGCGCTCATCGCAATTATAGCACAAACCTTTGTTGCGTCGTTCTTGCATCTGTGTTGCTGTGAGTCGCTTAACAAGCAAGGAATCCGATTTGTTTGGAGTAGGCAAAAGGGCCTGCTACACTGAAGGAACATTAGGAGTTGATTTACTAGGATCGCAAGATATGAGGTCAACAGAATACAAGTATAGGTGTTGTTGCAAGTCATGGAATTTGTCTTCCTGTAGTTTCGCAAGGCCAAAGGCTTGTAAGAGTGTTGATGGGCGAGATGAGCGGACCTCACGCTGTATTTCTGGTTTCAAGCCTGAAATAAAACAGCTCAAAAGATAGGTGTCAGAGAGGCCGGAAACTTGAGTCAAAAGTTCCTCAAAGGAAGACTGATAATCTATCACTGAACCAGACTAGGTGAGCTTGAACAACTGGCCAGTAAAATCAACAAACTCTGAAGGGCCAAAGCGAACTTGGAAGGCTTGTAAGAACTAGCGCCAAGAATTAAATTGGCCATTATCATTTATCCAACGATACCATGATAGGGCTGGTCCTTCCGTGTGAAACGAAGAAATTGCGAGCCGTTGATCCTCCGGAGTTGAATGATAATTAAAAAAGCGCTCTGCTTTGAAGATCCAACCCTTTGAATCAAAACCATCAAAACGAGGTACCTCCAAACGAAAAAGCTTAAATGAAGGAGTAGAACCACCGGAATCTCTGCCACCCAAAGAACCTGTAACTGTGTAATCCCCATCGCCCCCGGAACCATTGCCCACAGCCATAGAAGTATCAGCATGTTTCTGTGGGGTTTGTTGATTGTGCGCAAACTAGGAAGAGAGAACCGATAACTGCATCGCAACAGTCTTCAAGAAGTCTTCAAATGAATCCAATTTGGCTACCAAGACAGCCTGCTGACTCGAAAGTTGGCTAACAGTGTCATCTAGGGAGCGAGGTTTGGAACTGTCGGCCATGGAAGGGAACGAGAGCACCAATGATAGGGTTTGGGATATGATCTGTTTATATGAGGAACAGAGACCTCCAAGAACAAGAGATAGAAATATTATTGACAAAATTCTTTATTGATTCCCACAATCTAGATTTAGGCTATTATATAGCCTTACATTTGACTCTACTGACTCCCAAAAGGACTCTAATTATAAAGGGATAATAAGTCCCTAAAGGACTCTAATTATAAAGAGATAATAAGATAATCCTAATTCTATCCTAATAAGATAATAACATAATTATAAAAGATAATAATAAAGACTTAACACACTTATCCTAATTCTAAAATAATCCTAACATAGTACTACTTCCGCCTTCAAGCAACAGAACTGTGCCCTCAACTAAGCCTGTTGGTGTCAAATCGTAATACGCACCATAATTCTGTCCACGTTAAAGAATTAATTGAGAAAATATGTGATCTAAGTTTAGTAATTAGGTAATGATATCACCGAACCTGCATTATTTTTCTGTTAATTTTACGTAAGTAAACATACCGCCAATCCAACTGTGGCACTGAGTAAACTTATGACATTGGACCCTGGTTTCAGTATAGCAGGTTTCTCAAACACGAAACTGTAATCATCTCCATCCACTTTGTTTCCCATTGGATTGCTTGGAGAATTGTTTGCCTGTTTAGACCAACAAAAAGTTAGATGAATGAAGCCTGGTCATCGTCATCTTTTACAGAGAGAAATCAATGACACCCCTTGAAATTACCCATAAGCTTCCCATTAACATAAGCATGAAGACCGTGGCCGTTGATGCATACTCTTAGAGTTACATTTTTCTCGGATGTCCCTTTGATGTGCACACTGTGTAAACAGGTGACAATCATACAATATTAGTCTCTCTCTCTCTCTCTCTCTCTCTCTCTCTCTCTATGTGTGTGTATATATATATATATATATATAAGTGAAGCAAAGTGGTCAGGAAATTACCTTGTCATGTACCACAAGTAGTCGCTAGCATCAACAGTTGTTTCTTTTTGGTCAAGAAGTCGTATTTTTTTTAAATTTACCTTCTCCTTTGAGGGTATCCTCCATTTGCTCTGATGTCCAAAACCATGATAATTTATTAGGTTGACCATCCTTTCCCTTGTCACCTTCATTTGCCTTCATTATCATCAGAGAGGTTTGTGTGTTAACCTGTAGATCAAAGTATCATGCGGAAAGAAATTTGATGTGTTTACTTGCCTTGGCTGTGTTGAAGACTTCCATGTTACAATTTTGAAGGAAAGTGACTGACCAAGCAGGCAAAAAGAACTTGCCATCTTGTCCCAAATCAACATTACTATCTGATGAATTTTCTGTGTTGCCCACCATACAAAACTTCTCCCCACTAGGAAGGCTGAATTTTGTCAGCTAAAGAACACAATAGGGTCACGTGATTGATTGTAGGAATCAATCACGTGACCCTATTGTTACTATCTATAGGAATTAAGTCTGGAAGAGTTATTTATGTAATTCAACATCAAACTTATTTTAGCTTATTTGTTAAGCTGTTAAAAGTTAGTTTTAGTTAGCTGGTTAGTTACTTAATTAGTTAGTCAGTAATTAGAGAGCTTAACAGATTTGTATATAAAGCTATTTGTTAATGAATGAAAAGTGTGAGCATTATTCAGAAATAT